TGTCTTGAGGTAGAAGCTAATAAATGCAACAGAACTGTATCTGCACTGTCTCGTGGAGTTCTTTGGGCTGAACCTGACATCAATCTCTCCAGGATGAACTGGTGGTAGAAGTTCACAAACCCTAGGAAGCTTTGGGGTTGCCTCCAGGTCTGTGGTGCCTCCCACCCCAGCACATCCTTTACCTTTGCTGGGTCCATCTCCATACCATGGCTGGATATTTTGTACCCCAGGTAGTCCAAGCTCTCCTGGTGAAATTTGCATTTGGAGAGCTTGGCGTACAGTTGTACCTCCAGCAGTCTCTCAAGCATCGCTCTGACCAGTTTCACATGCCCCTCCAGCGTCTCTGAGTATATGAGGATGTCATCCAGGTAGACCAGGACCCCCTGGTAGAGGAAATCATGCAGCACCTTGTTGTTCAGCTACATGAATACTCCTGGGGGGGGCCTTAACCCAAATGGCATCACACAGTACTGGAAACTGCCCAAGGGGTCTTCCACTCATCACCCTCGCATATTCGAACCCTGAAATACGCTTCTCTCAGGTCCAGTTTGGTGAACACCTTCCCTTTGGATAGGTGCAACAGCAAGTCTTTCATGAGGGGGAGGGGGTACTTGTTTTCCGCACTGATGGTGTTCAGCCACCAGTAGTCTACACACAGCCTCAGCAAGCCATCCTTCTTCTCCCAGAAAAGCACCGGGGCTGCCATCGGGGACTTTGCCAGCTGGATGAAGCCTCTCTCCAAGTTCTTGTCAATGAACTCCCTCAGGGCAGCCATCTCCTTCCCTGACATGGAAGGGCTTAGGCAGTTTGGCCCTGGGCTCCAGCTCGATAGCGCAGTCAATGGGCTGGTGGGGGGGTAGTTGGTCTGACACTGCCTCACTGAAGACTGCCTCCAGGTCGCAGTAGGGACCCGGTATACTGCCGGTCTCTCTCTGCTCACCTGGTGCTGACCACTCAGGCCCCACCACCGCTGACTCCACCGCTGCCACCGCTGCTGTCTCTGCCGCCAAGGTTGCCTCGGTCGCTGCCGCTGCCATCGTCCCCTCTCACTCTCCGACCGCCCTTGCCGCTGCTGCTCTCACCGATGCCTCACATCCTGCTGGGTCCTCTGCCACAGGGACCCCTCTGCAGCCCAATCCCATCTGTCTCTAGTGCTGCCGAACCACAGGGCCTTGGATGCCCAGTTGATGTGTGGATTCTGGTGCTTGAGCCATACCAGACCCAGCACCAGTGTGTAGTCAGCCATCGGGGTAACTATGAATCGCAGCTCCTCCCGATGGGTTCCGATCATCATCTCGACCAGCTTAGTATAATACTGCACCAGTCCCCCCTGCCGTTGATCCGTCCAGCTGGCTGAACAAAATGGGCTCCCTGAGTTTCCTCACACGGAGCCCCAGTCCGAACACCAGGAACAGGTACACCCCGAGTCCAACGGGGCCTCAAGGTTTGCCCCTGCTCCCGTTCTCACCCCCTTGAGGTGTACCTTCACTCGCATGGGTGAGCACTCCCCATTTACCAGCGGGTCTTCAAGCCACGACTCCTCTGCTTGCACTGGGGTGTGCTTCAGCGCAGGTGACCGTAGTTTCCCACCGGCTTGCTCTCTTCCCCCAAGGAACTGGACTTGGAAGTGGTCCACCTGGTCCTGCCATGCTCCGCTCTGCTGGCCACTGCCCCCTTTCGGGGCCGGTTAGGGGGTCTGGTTACCGGAGGCCACTGAGCCCCATCTACTGCGCGGTGCATCAAGGCGTCCTGCTCCAAGGGGGATTGCACCGCCTGGTGCCCCTTCCCTCTGCATTGGTAACAGGGACCTGCCTTCTGTCAGGCTTCTCTGTCATCAGGTCCCTGCCATTGGCTCCCACACCTCACCTCCGGGCTCGCCTCGCCACAGTCAGGTCTGGCTGGTTTCTGGGCTCGGGTCCTCCGCTTGACCCGGTCCCAGGTGGCTTTCGCCATCCTCGCCAGCCAGATCCATTCCTTTAGAGACTCCGGGTTATCCTGGCTGAGCGCGCGCTCCAGTATCTCTGGGTTGAGTCCATGTTGGAAATAGTCTACCTTCAGAGACTCTGGCCAGTTGGGCAGCTTCTCTATGAGGCATCTGAATTCCAGGGCGTATTCAGATACCGACCTTTCCCCTTGGTGCAGTCAGCAAATCTTGTCCCTGGCTTGCCTGGTGTTCAGTGTGTTCTCAAACCTGTCCCTGAGCGCTTGCATGAACTCAGGGAAATTCCCTAGTTCCTCGGCGTTGGCATCATACAGGCGGATGAACCCACCCAGCTGCCCGCCCCTCCATCAGGTCGGCCACATAGGCAACCCGTTCCCTGTCGTTGTCGAACAGGTGCCCACTGTGGTCCATGAAGTTCCTCACCTGAGTGAGGAAACAGGCCAGTTGCTCAGGGTCCCCCGAGAACTTGCTTTTCAGGTTCCTAAATCTGAGCGCCTCTGCCGACCGTCGGTTCTCTTCACCTGCTGCCGGTCATCCTGCCGCACCTCCTGCGGGTCTAGCCATTGCTGCCAACCTGGGTATGGCCTCCGTGCTAACTCCTGCTCCCTCGTTGCCTTCCTGGACTTCTCTGGGGCCATGAAGCAGTGTCTGTAGCATCCCTTGCAATGGTCGCCAATTGGCACCTGAAGTCATCCTCCATGTGGGACATCCAGTCCTCCAGCTCCCTGCTGCGGGAGTTTGCACCCTGCTGTGGGAGTTTGCACCCTGCCACGTCGTGACTCCACGTCCCAGCATGTCCCTGGGCCCCAACCCCACATCGGTTGACCACCTCGTGCTGTCAGGTGTTGGTGGGGTGGGCTCCCTCCTCCTCTTCCTTCGGACCATCTCCTCTCCCTCTGGGTTCTCTGGTCCGGATTCCGTGCTGTCTCACCCCCTTGCACCCTCACTGTCACTTGCCATCACTCTGCGAAGTCGAACGGGCTTGGTAGGTCGGCTGCGCAAGAAAGAATGTGAGCACTCCTCGGTAAGGTTACTCTGGGTAGAGCTCAAAGGGAATCCTGGCTTTATGTAAGGTTCACTGCATTCGGTGCTGAACAGAAACCTCGTGAGGCACAGGCTCAAAAGAAAGCTAGTTTATTCAGGTGTAATGCATAGCGGTTACAGACAAAGCCAGGATTGGCTTGGCATGTTCCTTACAACAGTTTTATAGGGTTTCCCCCTTGACCTGTAGTTACCCCTTGGTTCCACCCCTCGCCCTTGCCCTGGGCTGCCCATCTGTCCATTGCGATCTTCCTTCCCCTCACCTTGATGGCAGATTCAGCCGGTTTCTATTGGGTTATGATCTCTTCCTTTGTCTGTCTTGCCCTTACATTCCTTGG